GCGAAGTACCCGCTCTGTGGCATGATGCTCCACAACATCGAGGCACATCAGCGGGACGGAAGTTCTCCAAAGCTGTCGGTCGACCGAGCAATAATCGGGCAGGCCAGCTATAAACTCGTCGTTGTATGGCGTCCAGATGAACTATCAAATAATAACATAAAAGTAAGTATGTGCAACACAAGTGAATTTATAACAAGTAAGTTTAGGTACATATTTACCTATGCGGCCTCCAGCATATCCAACACATCCTTGACAAGGGGAGATTATGATGAGCATCAATGCCTCGGTAATTCCCATGCCAGAGAACCCACCTCCTAGCTAGAGGGAGAAATGGAGGTGCTACATCCGGAGGTAATAGTGGTAGAGGTGGCTGCAACGGCAGGAACCGCTCCCAGGCCCAAACCTAACATACAAGGTCGACGTAAAATTTAAGAGTCATTTTGATTATATAGAATTGGAAGTAATGAATAGAGTATTCGAATATGTTGTCACCTGTAGAAGCGGCAGAAAACCACATATGTCGCTCTAGGTGCCCATGCTAGCCCGGCACATACTCCTATATAGGTAAGGGAGAACAGCAGCACCCCAGCTGTACTGGGGTAACTCATCTAGCCGCTGAAGATGATGTAGAAATCACATACTCACTAGATTTCCCAAAGTGTTCGGGAACAAGACATCCCCAATAAGAAGGAGCAGCGCCAACCTCGTGTACAGGTGAATATGGAGATCATCTGTCTCGCCGGTGATGTCGGGGTGCAATACCTCCAAATGTTGTCTGATAGCTGTCACAGCAATGCGACTACCCCCTCTAGCTGTATTCTCACCTTGTGGCCTAAAACCAGTAAACTGCTGCAGCAAGTCCAAATTCTGGCCACGCGTCATAGATCTCATATACTGAGGCAGTTCAACAGCCAGTCCATCAGCACGCAGCCCATATAAAACCTGAACATCCTGAAGCATGAGGGTGGCCTCGCTAATGGGCAGGTAAAAAGTGTGTGTCTCCGGTCGCCACCGCTCTATCAACGCCGTGATCAGAGACCAGTCGAGCTGCAGCCGCCCAATCTCAAAAATACTATAGAAGCTCGTATTAAGGAGGCGCTCGACTACGCGAGGATGGAAAGCTCTCTCCCTCAAAAATTCCCACAAGTCGTCCGGTCTCCTGGCGCGGAGAGTCTGATCCACTAGTTGTCCCTCACTTGCGTAGGTGGACCTATGATCACCCTGTAACACTAATATCTTATCTGAGGCTGGTCCAGGATGCACAGGCGGCACGTCCATGATGTCTACTATAAATTAAACAATATTAATTGTGTGTTTGTGCTATAATAATTAATATTTAATTATTTAACTGGACACAGTATATATCTATGGGTTCCAAGCTCGATATTGAGGCCCAGTAGCACCAAGATATCCTGAATTCTTATGTGTGTCAATTTTAATATTTTTTAAATTTTGTTAGTGTTATAATAATTAATATTTAATTATTTAACTAGACACAGTATATATCTATGGGTTCCAGGCTCGATATTTGAGTCCCAGTAGCACCAAGCTATCTTGAATTCTTATGTGTAATGTCAATTTCAATATTTTCAAAATTTTGTTAGTGTTATAATAATTAATATTTAATTATTTAACTGGATACAACATATATATATATATATATATATATATATATATATATATATATATATATATATATATANGTTTTAAAATTTTGTTAGTGTTATAATAATAATTAATAATTAATTATTTAACTGGATACAGTATATATCTATGGGTTTCAGGCTCGATATTTGAGGCCCAGTAGCACCAAGCTATCCTGAATTCTTATGTGTGTCAATTTTAATATTTTTAAAATTTTGTTAGTTTTATAAATTAAATATTTAATTATTTAATTGGACAGAGTAAATATCTATGGGTTCCAGACTCGATATTTGAGGCCCAGTAGCACAAAGCTATCCTGAATTCTTATGTGTGTCAATTTTAATATTTTTAAAATTTTGTTAGTTTTATAAATTAAATATTTAATTATTTAATTGGACAGAGTAAATATCTATGGGTTCCAGACTCGATATTTGAGGCCCAGTAGCACAAAGCTATCCTGAATTCTTATGTGTGTCAATTTTAATATTTTTAAAATTTTGTTAGTTTTATAAATTAAATATTTAATTATTTAATTGGACAGAGTAAATATCTATGGGTTCCAGACTCGATATTTGAGGCCCAGTAGCACAAAGCTATCCTGAATTCTTATGTGTGTCAATTTCAATATTTTTACAATTTTGTTAGTTTTATAAATTAAATAATTAATTTTTAATTGGACAGGATATATATCTATGAGTTCCACGCTTGATATTTAATTTGACAACAACAACAACAACAACCCAGTATAATCCCACTTCATGGGGCCTGGGGAGGGTAGTGTGTACCAGACCTTACCCCTATCCTGGGGTAGAGAGGTAATTTGAAGGGGAGCCTTGGCGTAACTGGTAAAGTTGCTGCCATGTGACCAGGAGGTCACAGGTTCAATCCGCGGAAACAGCCTCTTGCACAAATGCAGGGTAAGGTTGCGTACAATAGACCCTTGTGGTCCGGCCCTTCCTCGGACCCCGCACATAGCGGGAGCTTAGTGCACCGGGCTGCCCTAATTTGACAACATATATTAATTTGTTAGTTCTGTATGTTTGTTTTATAAATTAAATAATTAATTTTTATAGAGTGTAATTGGACAGAGTTTATAGTTAGTAGATACTTAAACTACAGAGATTCTACTATAAAAGGCTCTATATTTTACTACGCTAAAAGGCTCTATATTTTACTACGCTAAAAGGCTCTATATTTTACTACGCTAAAAGGCTCTATATTTTACTACGCTAAAAGGCTCTATATTTTACTACGCTAAAAGGCTCTATATTTTACTACGCTAAAAGGCTCTATATTTTACTACGCTAAAAGGCTCTATATTTTACTACGCTAAAAGGCTCTATATTTTACTACGCTAAAAGGCTTTATATTTTACTATGCTATAAGGCTCTATATCTTACTACGCTAAAAGGGCACTATTCTTTAAGCAAATAAATAATCTAAACTAAATATAAACAACAAACATATGAACATAACATTCACAAAATTACATATAAAACAGTAAAAGAAATTTATGAACATTTTTATTAACAATAAAAATTATTTCTCAACTTTTAACTATTTTTTTAAACACTAATAATTTAATTCGGGTAAAAATAACATACAAATTTAATCACAAACAAAATACAAATCAACGTGGAAACACACTCAAGAAAACAAATATGCATAATTATACGAGTTTCGACATAAACTAAATCGGAATACCTCGATTTATGTTTTTAGAAATGTCGGAAATATGAAATTTTGAGCCCGAAACAAGGAAACCACAATAATCGAACGCCTGGGTTGTATGCGGGACCTACACTCTTCACTTTTTGTGTGACGGGTCGGGCCCAATCGAATGTTTCTTTTAAATCGAGGGGGGACCGCTGGAAAGGGGTTGGGTTTTTTAAATTGAAACCTTCTGGTTTCTGTCATGGTGAAGAATGAGACTTTATATTTTAATAGAAAAATGCAGTATAATACTACGTTTTTCTAAAATATAGTATTATACTACGTTTTCCTTTAACGGTTAAATTTCCATTAAAGTAAAATGCAGTATTATACTGCATTTTAGTTAGAAAGATAACTTTTTTTAACTGTATAAAGGTATTTTGAGTCCCAAAACTCATTATTTAGGTTTCGGACTCTCCTAACTGATCATCCTTGACTCTGATTTTGGATTGGTACCGATTATGCACATCGGCCCAGGTCACCGCTGGATATTCAATCAAATTCTGCTTTAATTGACGTGATGCTACCGAATTTCGCTTGTTCAGAGCCTGAGTAAAGGCTTGGACAGCCCAATCATCGGTAACCGGGAGTAGGTCCATGCGTTCCATCTGAAATCGAGATACAAATTAAATTAGAATTTCATTGTCCTTTTGTCTCACTTTGAAGAGGTCTGACTTCCTAGTCGCGACCTTTATTGCTCCGGCGTGTGCCTTTACTAATGAATCGACTAGCAGGCGAAATAATCGATAGAATTGGGCGGCAAATTGTGGTACCATATCATTGCCCCCTTCAACAAAGTTTCTCTAAATTTTTTTAGCAAATCGGATTCAATCTCATCATCTTCTAAATCATTTTCCTTTATCCCGCATGTGTACGGAGTTATGTGTTCATTAGGATCACTGGTCCCGTTGTACTTAGGGATATCCGAGATACGGAATTTCTTAGGAATGGGCTTCGGAGCCGCACTTTAAGGAAAAGGTTTTTGCACGAATTTCTTCGCATTCAAACCCTTTAGGATCGGGGTACCCCCGGTATTTGGTCAACTTGTGAGTTGTACGTTTCTACCTTTTTGTCATTAGCCTCGATTTTCTTTTCACCTGATTTTATCCATTTCATGAGCTCCTCGAGCATTGATAATTAGGGATTCTAGCCTATTTTATGCTCCGTTTTGCTTAGATTTTGGATTAAAAGTGTGTACAGGTATTCCCGAAATCTAACTTATTGTGCTTGTTTGCAGTTTTTGGTCTAAAAGAGACAAGAAAGTCAAAACCAGCTCATAAAGGAGTGAAACCTGCACAAGTCAAAGCTTAGTCAAAAGGGCGCTAACAGCAGAAAATCGGACGCTGATGTGGAGGGTCCACCACTGAGGCGGTCTTGTTTACGCTCTTAGCAGTGGCAAAGTTCAGAGAGTGTGTTTTGGGCTTAACAAGTCACCGCTGCACGCGGTGAAATTGCGCGGCAGTTGTAGCTTTTGCGCGGCAGTGGTCACTTTACCGCCCTCAGCGGAAGTCAAAATCAGAAAGCCAAAACTGGAGCTAAAAGTTGAAGACCGCAGTTCGCGCTTGATTTTGCGTGGCCGCGGTAGTCATAGCGCTACAGCGGTCCATTTTCCGCTGTCAGCGGAACCTCCGTAGGGGCATTTTTGTCCGAAAAATTTATTTGTGTATAAATAGTTCTTTTTTAGATTTTTAGGTCATATGTTGTTTAGAGAGTACGTGAACAACAGCTTTTTGTTATTTTGAGTAATTTTAGAGCTTAGTTAACCATTAATATTACATTCTTCTCTTGTAATTACTTTTTATGGGTTATATTTCATCTAAATCTTTGATTCTTCTTTGATTATGAGTAGCTAAACCTATTAGCTAGGGTTATGGCTCAACCCTAGTGTGGGAATTTAATGAGTCTTCAATTTTAGGGCTTAAATGTTTATGAATGAATGATATTTAGCTTGATTTATGCTTTAAATGTTGAATTTGTGGTTGCAAACACTGATTTGTGCCTTTTTTACTTAGGCTCTTCTTGAGAAAGAGAGACTAAATCAAGGAAATTCAGGATAACAAGGAATTGGGGTGCATTCAAGAGATTGATAGCCCCAATTAAAGGGTTAAACCTAGAGATAGTAATACCCGACTTGAGCCAATTTTGCTTGCATTGTTTGAACACCCAATTGAGCATAAGAAAGTCAACTAGGGCAAAGTCACTCAAACTACCGAGAGGTATAGAGTGAGTAGTTATGTGCAATAGCTATATCATGATCCCAATTATGACTGTCACACCTCCTTTTTCCGCCCCCGCGAGGGGTGAAGGAGTTTTTCCAATTAAAGGACAATCGAAACGGGATTTGGTTGTTTATTTCAGAGTCGCCACTTGGGAGATTTAGGGTGTCCCAAGTCACCAATTTAATCCCGAATCGAGGAAAAGAATGACTCTGTATTACAGTCCGCGAACCAGAAATCCGGATAAGGAATTCTGTTAACCCGGGAGAAGGTGTTAGGCATTCCCGAGTTCCGTGGTTCTAGCACGGTCGCTCAACTGTCATATTAGGCTTGTTTATCTGATTTTATACAATTATGAGCTCATGTGCAAATTTTAACTCTTTACCGCTTTTATTACATTTTTAAAGGAATGTGAACATCGTTTAAAAAACATGTCTTTGGATTGCGTCACATGAAATGCACCCGCAATCCGGAACATATTTTATTCAATGTTTTGGGATTTGGATTTGGGTCGCATGAAATGCACACCCGAGTTTAAGAAGGTAAGATTATTAAAATGCGCCTAAAGAGTCTAACGCGTTATTATCTTTGGGGAAGGCAGTGAAATTCACTAAACAGTCCATCCCGAATTCTAAATATTCAATTAAACATTTATTGAGGGCCTCGCAATTGGTGCGTTTTATTGGGCGAGGCTCATCTCAATTA